CAAATTAAAAATAAATTAAAATTAATTTCACAAAGTTGGCAAGCCCTTTTACTATTTAATGTATTTTAAATTAAATTTGTGTACAACTAAATTTTAAATAATCCATTATTTATCAAACATAATGGAAATTGTAACCATTTTAAATACGGTAAATTTTATATCCCTAGCCCAAAAATTCTACATTAAATAGTAAAACGGCTTGCCATACCCTTATGTTATAATTGTGACGTTATAAAGGGTGTTTTTTTTTAAGATATCGAACTTTTAATAGTGATATATAATAAACCAGATGTTAAAATTGTCACCTTTTTTTGACATTTTGTTGTATACTTGGCAAATTACCATGCAAAGACTTACACCCGAACAACGTTTACAAATCGTGAAAATTTATTTCAAAACTAGGCGTTCTGTGCGCCAAACTTATAAAGCACTTTTCCCAATTTATGGTGCGCATAACCTTCCATCTGAGAAGCTTATACGCAATTCTATGGATTGATTTATGTCTACGAATACTTATGGATACTTATAGATAACATTTATCCAACACGAGCTCATACTTTGCGTACCGAAGAAGCGATCGCCGCTGTAGAGTTGTGTGTGAACGAGGACCCAAATTTGCAATTCGACGCTTTTTTCAACAACTCGGCCTCTGTCCGTCGAATACGTGGAAGATTTTGAGAAAAGATCTTGGCCTACACCCGTATAAGATCCAGCTGGTGCAGGAATTGAAACTAATAGAACATCGTTTGCGGGCACGTTTGGTAAATGGGCTGAAAATCAACTCCCTATTAAAAATGCCATATAGAAACACAAAATAAAAATCTATCTGGTTCAATATAGGAATTTGAAACAGGCATTGCACTATTGAACCAGATAGAATTCCATACCTGGAAAACCATATAGAAAAGTGATTTCTATATGGATTGCCATATAGGTTCATATTGCTCTATTTGGCCCAATATGGTTTGGGTGTGAAAAAATTATTTAATATGTTTAATATGCAATTTTCGTTTAAATAAATATACATTTTAAAATGGAATTCCATATTCAACCATATAGGGAAACCTATATGGAAATCCATATAAAAATCCCTAAGTTGTACATTTTAAAATGAAATTCCATATTAAACCATATAGATTGCAAAGTGTAAACCAGGTCGTTCCATATAGGACATATAGAACCATATAAATCCATATTAGTTTCCTTATCTGGATCAATATGGGTTTTATAGGGCATTTTTAATAGGGCTGGAACTTGAACCGGATATTTACCGTTAAATAATTTTCAGGGATGAGGCTCATTTTGGCTTAATGAATACGTTAACATGCAAAATTGCCGTTTTTGGAGTAAGCACAATCCCCACGAGACTCTCGAGACCCCATTACATCCCGAAATCCTGTTTCGTGCGGTTTGCATGCCGGAGGCATAATTGGCCCATATGTTTTCAAATTTGAAGACAGAACCAACATTACCGTCAGTGGTGAGCGCTACAGGCAAATGATTTGCATTTTTTTGGTTCCCCACGTCAATGCCAATTGTCTGAAAGCCAAGTGGTTCCAGCTAGACGGCGCAACATGCCATCACTTAATTGGGACAGACTTTTGTCGATCAAATCATCTTAAGAAATGACAATGGTTGGACTACTTTTTGTGGGTGTACGTGAAGTCACTGATCTATACTGATAATCCAGCTACCGTTAATGACTTGGAAACCAACATTCGACGCGTTATTAACGATGTAAGGCCGGAAATGTTGGAAAAAGTTGTGAGAAATTGGAGCAATAGCATGGCAGTCGTGGTAGCCATATGCCCAAAATTGTTTTCAAACAATAAATGGCATCTAATTTGCATGCTAATAAATCCAAATATTGGTCATTTTATTAATTTTTCTGTATTTTATTTAAAAAAAAAGTTCTATGCCTCTTAAAAAACACAATTTATTTATATTATTAAGAAACACCCTGTATATGCCTAAGCATCCTGAATACCATATATCTGCTTAAAAAAAGCGATTTACTTGCAATTTTTTGTATGCAAGCTATTTAAAAAAATACTTTCAAAGTAAAATGCAAATTTTTGAAAACCATGAGGTTTTACCACCAAAATACCAATGCGAAATAAAAATATTATTATATATTAAACGTTTACATTTACATCAATAATAAAATAAAAATTGTGTTACCTACCAACTTCTGTAAAATAAAAAACTAGCTTTTATATACTACATGTATGTATAATATACATTGTATATATTCCTTTAAATTATAAATTTTAAAATTCATATAAGCAAATTTAAAGACAACATACCAGCATACCAGTTCAGAAAATAAAGCGAATATCCGTTTTTGAAAATACATATTATACCAGGTGAGTTTTTTAAAGTGTTACAATGGAAAATTTCGAAAACACTTGTGAAATTGTGAAATTTTGGTAAACTAATAGAGAGGGGAGGACATATTTTTGACACTTACCCCCTTTCCCTATTTTGAGGGTCGGAGGATTTTTATAGGGATGATGTACTTTTTTTTAATTAAATCTACAAAAAAACTAGGTTACTGAATTATAATTTATTGGATTATAAGATACTAAAAATTTTAACTAATTTTTCGTCTGCCATGTATGAGAAATTCTTTAAACTATCCCCCTTTAACTTCCAAACACGTGATAAATAAATTAAAATTATTTTTTAGTATTTTATAATTTAATAAATCATATATGAATTATATAATTCCGTAAGCCAAAGCGCAAAACAATTTTTTTTAACACATACCCAGTCTTTTACATAGATATTGATTTTTTTAAGTACATCACCCCTATTAAAAATCCAAATTTACCTCCCGCCCCTCAAAATTGGGAAAGGAAGCAGATGTCAAAAATATGATAAATATGTCCCGCCACCTCTCTATAAGTTTACTAAAAATCACAACAAAATTTTAAAGCGTTTTCAAAATACTCCCTTGTAACACACCCAGTATACAGGAGGTTTTAGATTTTTATCGTAAACTACCTGATAAAACTTTTAAAATTAATGCATAATTTTAAAATATCAAGAGAACACATTCCACTATACGGTAGACATGCTACATTAATTAAGCAAAAGCTAAATTTTAAAACATTATAATAATTATAATTATTAATAATTATTAATCATTATAAAAATTATTATTAATCATTATAAAAATTAATTAATCATTATAAAACTTATGTTTCATCGAACTATACAAATTCCAATAACTTAAAAACTTAAACGGATTTGGATAGAAAGAACTTTTTTGTTTAAAAAAGTACAGAAATTAGTTTTTTTATTAAAAAAGCCAAACGTTACACTGAGAAAAAAGTAATGGTCAATTTAATCCATAAAAAGTAAAATTTAGAGCGCCCTCTAGTGGATACAGTAAAACTGCGTCCATAGTTTGATTATACCAAAAAATCCCCGTATACCATTTTTTCAATACGTCAAAAAATGTTTACAACATGTTTAAAACTTAATTTAAACATTCTGTATCTCAAAAACTAAGCGTTTGACGACGCGACGTATGTTTATATACACTTTTTGCATTAATTTTAAAAGTTCTCTAAGGTAAAACACGCTGTATATTATTTAATGTACACGAATAAATAAAATGTTATGTTATTTACCTATTCGTCTAATAATACCTAATAATCTCCATTACATATTTAATTAATGTGCTTTTAATATCATCTTTTAATCTAATACATATAAAACACTGACTCTTTAAGGTTCTCTTTATTTTTTGGAAACAAGAAGTCATACGGGGCCATGTCTGCTGAATATAAAGAATATGGCATCTTTCCGGTGTTGTTTTGGGTTAAAAATTTCGACCACTAGTTATTTATTTTACAAGTGTTGAAAAGCGACTTTTTCATGCGAGTGTTTAAGTTGATCACGAGCTTGAAGAAAGCTTTTCTCAAAATTGAAACACAATGTGTTTTCTACGACCCTTTTATTTTTTATTATATTTAAATACAAACCAAAATAACCTAAAAAGCGTGTTTGACAGCTGTTAAAATTACTTTCATCTCATTATTTTAATTTTTAAGGTAGGTATAAGTTACTTAAAATCAATAAACTTACCTTCTCAATTTAAATAAAGGCACTAAAAAGTAGAATTTACACAACACAATTAATTGTGTTACCCTATAAAGGATATTTAGACATACAATACAAATTTTGAAACGAATGTCAAACGATGCTGTCAATTTTTTTTCACACACACCTGTCACTTTACATTCGTGTATTGCTTTGCCAATGAAAAGATTTATTTTCGAAGGAACGATGCTACTACGAAATTTGACTTTTACTTAGTGGTCGTAGAAAAAATTATTAAACAAGCAATGAAGTGTAAATAAACATTATCATGAGACAAAAGCCATTAATTGTATTATTTGCCACAACATTTTTATGAATTAATACACGGAACAACTTTGGAATTGTGCTAGTACTTTTTATTAATGGTCCAAAGCCCTCGTCATTTTCAGTTTGTAAGGTCATTTTGGAAACGCTTATATCACTTGTAAACCCTTGTTTTACTTATAGAAGACTCACTAAAAGCAATTATTAGGTAGAGTGAACAGGATTAGAGAAATACATGTACGCCATCACCTAGCTTCGCGAACAAAATGCTGCCAGTGCTCCACTGGAATCGAATATTAGATAGAATAATAAATCAAATAGATCAAACGCTTGTGACTAGGGACGACCCCTTAAATTTTAAATAAAGGACTCATCTGGCAATTTCAAAGTCAGTGCTATATGACGTACATTTATTTCTCTAATCGTGTTCACTCTAACATTTATAAAACTTGCTGCACTTTATTCCATTTTACAGCAAAATTTAATGAATTTATTTAAACTAGCTACGAAAACACATGCATCCTTGTGCAACAATTTGCACATAACAAATATGGCGCAAAGTACTACACCCAAGGTAAACGAAAATTTTCGTTACCTTTTAGTAATATTTTTTTTACTTTACTTACTTGGGGGATTTGAATTTCTTGTTTAATATGAATATTAGCAAATGGTGACGTTCCAGGCGGACTGTTATACATGGCACCATCTCCCAAGGAACCTCGTAACGTTTGAGCTGCTAACTGTCTTTGCCTCATCATTTGCAACTTTCTTGCTCTATCCCTTTTATACATTGGTCCAAATTTATTCCTTCCACCTCTCATCCGATCTGCACGTACAGCTAAAATTTAAAAAATCACAAATATTTTATTTCGTCTAATCTGTAGGTATCGATTTTGTTTTATTGATTTTAGCATCTAAAATAGACAAACATTATCAAATTAAAATAAGTACCTACTACTTTATTAAGGGTTCTCTTTTAAAAGATATTTCGATTTTAAGTTTTACAATTTCTAGGACGTTAGATGAAAAAGGCATTGTACGCGAAAAATGCATTGCAATTTTGTCATGGCTATACTTCGATTAAAGTATTTTTGTTCTATTTTGTTTGTTAAAGGTGACAACAATTAACAGCAATGAAAAATAATTTATTAATCATAACATTATTAAATTAAAGCAATCTTAAAAGGCTCGAGTGTAGTAGTTTTGCAGTATTTTTTTCCTTTTTAGTTTTTATAGGTGAGAACAACCAACAGCAACAGCATCGCAATACAATAAATCAACACAGAGAAAATGTATACAAACCAGAGCTGGCCAAGTACTGAGTACTTTTACTCGTATTTCAATTACGTGAGTATTTTTCACTTGAAATACTTATTACTCGTACTCACAAACCAAATTCAATGTACTCGAAAAAAATACTCGTGGAATTCACGAGTAATATATACGAGTATTTCCGTTTATTATATCGATGACTTTTTGCCAAAATATCGTAAGCATCAAAACATTTTGTTTGGAAGTCTGTTTTAAATTATATAATATATAATATAATATAATATATTATAGCCTATAGATTTTATATAAAGTAAAGTAAAATTATAAACTATTTAAGAATTGTTATACATAATGTTTAAAATAAATAATTTTATAAATTTGTATTTGTATTTTTATAGCTCAGGACCAAAGTATATTATATAATGTACACTCTCTAAAAATGAATTGGTCGAAAATGACTAATTACCACAGTTATTAGTGGAAATTAGTGAAAATACCGTCAAAAATTATGAAAGTGGAGCAGTTTTTAGATAAAGTCAGTTCCATATTATATGAAAAATGGACTATATCTTAAAAACTGTTCTACTTTTCTAACATTTGACGAAATGTTCGGATTCAGGGAAATTGACTGCTAAATGTTAAAAATACAAATTGCTATTGGCGAGAATTATTAGTGGCTGCTTTTTTGCTATGACATCTAGTCATTTTTGACTAATCCACTTTTAGAGAGTAAAGAATAATCAATTATATTAACTAAAATTTTTTATTCAAAAGTACTCGTACTCTTTACTCGTGTTTTCACGATTACTACTCGTAACCGTAACCTCTCTTTACAAATGTACTTACGAGTAAATATTTTAAGTACTCGTACTTAAAATTTTACGAATACTTTTTTTAGTACTCGTGCCCAGCTCTAATACAAACTATAGTTTATACTGCCTTAAAGAAAATTTCTAGACAACGAATGAGATTATGGAAATTATGATCTATTAGGTAGTAATATGGATCACTATGTATTTTGTGTGGGAAAGTATTTCGATGTATGGTTTTAAAAAAATATTTGCAGGAAGTACTGGTAATCCAAGGTTATCGGTTATTAATGTGAAAACAATTTCATTTTACCCATAACTCAAAATGTAACAAATTTTGACTTATACAAGGTGTCCCTAAACTTAGTGGCATAAATTTAGGAGCAAATTAAGCAAATCAAAATAAGACGAAAATCTAAATAAATATTTTTCCTAATGAAGTGTGTTTAAAAGATACAGGGTGATAAAGTGTTACTTATCATATCAGTTTTTTTAATTTAACTTCTAAGTGACTGTTCGCAAAATGTCACCTTTCCAAGTCTACCATAGTACTATGGTAGACTTGGAAAGGTGACATTTTGCGAACAGTCACTTACTAACAAAACACATATTCACACATAATTACAATTGTTCGAGTGAACGCAGTGTCGTAAAAACAGGGGTTGCTTAAGCTTATTGTCCCATACAAACTTTGAGGTTAAGTTTTTTTACCATTTGATGCAATTTTTCGATTACTCAGTTCGGCTACTATTAAAAATGTGTACCTCTCAAAGTTATAAAATAAACCGTTTCCGAGATATTCGAGATTACAATAATTGTTATATCGCAATAAAGGACAAAAAGGTATATGATATAAAAAATTTTAATTGAAAAAACTACATTTTTTTAATGTCTCTAGGCTCATGGAATGCCGTTTTTAGTTTTTTCAATTAAAAAATTAAATTTGTTATCATATGCCTTTTAATCCTTTTAAATAATATTATATTATCGCCAAGCGGTAAAAGGGAATTGATTATATATACAGGTTGTTATGTAATTAATGTTATATATTAAAATACTGAATACCTTTTGACATAAGGAATAAAGGAAAAATATTTTAAAAAGCATTTTTCCAAAGATAAAGAAAAAATATGCATTAGAAGTTTTTTATATTTTTTGTGATACGCCACTGGTTACACACTTGTTTATCTCTGCACACCTGTATTTTGTGAGTACATAGATACCAACCAACAAAGTAGCTATGCGTTGCCAGATGTAAAAAATTGTTACTAAAAATGTTTCTTGCAAAAAATAAATAAAAACTCAATAAATACAAAAGTTTTATGCCCTTAAAGCTCTAATACCCTTCTGTATTTATTTTCTGATCCAGCTATTAGCTTAAGCAATGATTAGAAAATTTAGTACCTTTGAAATTTGAAATCCATAACCACAAAATTAATATTTTCATCAGTTTTTTCTCTGTTTACTCAGATGAAATTGGGACCAGTTCACAGGTTAAACTTTAAACATTTAATTTGTGTAAATAAATCCAAAAGCACTTCCCTTAGTTAAGATATTTACAATTTAAAAACATAACCTAAAATTTAAAAGAAATGCACTAGATTCTGTCATAAAAGTTGGCAGATTTTGTTTGAATTTACCTTCAGTACAAAAATGAAATAACCAACAATTAATAAAAACGCCAAATTGACAATTTGCATTGTTAATTTTGTCATTTTTGTAATTAAGCTAAATTTAAACAATGTTTGTCAACTTTTTTGAGAGATTTTGGAAACTGTTGTTACCAACCATAACATAATAAATCCACCAGATTAACCTAAAGTTCCTAGTCGATCAGTGGCGTACTTTTTGGTAGGATAAAGGTTATTATAAATTATTTTTAGACTTTGGAATTTAGAAAAAAAAAGTTTCAGGTGCTTCTTTATGGACCCTAAGGAACAACCCATTTTAATATATAACATTAATTACATAACACCCTGTATATAAATATATATATATTATATTATCGCATATGCGATATAAGAGTTATTGTAATCTCGAATATCTCGGAAACGGTTTATTTTATCGAAGTTTGAGAGGTACACCCAAAGATAATTATCTTTGGGTACACCTTTTTAATGGTAGCCGAACTGTGTAATCGAAAAATACCGCACGATGTGGTATGAAAGCGTTTCTGAATTTGGTGAAAATGAAGTGTATTCTTGTATGATTGTGAATGAGGACTTAAGTTGACGAACTTACTTTATGGTCCGACAATTGCCAGAGTCAGGGCTGGTTTATCAATCTCCAGTTAATTATCTCGAAGATAATTTCCATGGATACCATTGTTCTCACAACGATCGATATGGAATTTAACTGTCACTTTCTAAGAAAATATATTGTAATACAGTGATGTAACCGATACATTTTTTTCAGTATCTAGGTACCGATACAGATACTCTCTGGTAGATGTATCTGGGTACAGATACCGATACATTTTCCCAAAAGTATCTGGGTACAGATACAGATACATTCAAAAAGTATCTAAGTTACTTCCAGATACTATGTTAAAAAAACTTAAAAATTAAATGACAAAAAAATTTTTTTGGACCTTATAAACAAGCGTGTTAACTATAAAATAAAATTGTTTTGATAAAATTGACGAAATATCCATGAAAAACGGAAATAAATTTTATATTTACTCGCCATATGAAAGCTTACTACAAAATTTGTAGTACAAATTCAAAATTAACCTACAGCGCTTTTGTTTAACTTTACTCACTAGTGCCTTAGAGTTACTTTATGCACCTCGCACTCCAAAGTGGGTTGAAGGGAAAAAGAAATAAAATATCTTTTTATTATTTGTGGCCCACACGGTGTGGAGTTGCAATCAGGTTGGGTAAAATAAAATGTATCTTGTATCTAAGGATCTAGATACTTTCAAAAGGATCTAGATACTAAAGTAGATCCTGATTTTTTTAAGTATCTCGGTACGTATCTAGGTACATAAAATGTATCTAGATCCAGTATCTAGATACATGTATCTCGATACATTACATCACTGGTAATACCCAACAATATAGATTTGTTATGCAAAATTTGGTTCATTTAATTATAACTTATGGTTATAATAACAATATACGAAAAATTAGTTTTGTTATAAGTACTGTACTATAATCATTTTGTTATAAAAATTTAGTAAAGTTAGATATTTAAATAGGCTATTACAACCATCATGTACGGCTAAACTGTTAGTACTATACTAGATGATAAAAATATAAGATTATCTGGTTACAATAATAATATAATGTTGTCACACATTATTAAAAATATGTCGTAGTTTTTACTATGCAGAAAGTTTATACATATCATACGTATAGTATATTTAACCATATAGAGGGTTATAAGGTATTTGCATATGATTATTATAACTAAATAAATTATTGTTTTGTGCAACAATAAAAATATAGTTAAAGTGACAATAAAATTGTTACAATATAAACATGGTTAACATAACAGTAAGTATATATGACTGTGCATATACTATTTAGAATATTCGATTAAGATAACCATTGTTTTTTCTCATTTCAGATAGACTAACTGGAACTTATCCAGAGATTGATAAACCGACCCTCAGAATCGTAAAATATTGATAGTAATGTGCATAAACTGACCCAAAATTAAGCACAATCCGGAGTCCCTCTCAACCAGGGATTTAGTAATAACTCCATTCATTTAGGGGTTAATGAATGTGGACTTGATTGGTTAATATTCTGCT